TTGAGTGGTTAGTGAGTCCAGGCTTGCAGTGTCAAGCATACGTCGATGACACGTCTTTCAGGTAGGTAATCAAGGGTGAGTCCTTGTGAAAGACACAATATAGCTAGCTAAAAAGAAAACCCAAAACAAAACCCCCCCAAAAAACAAAAAACCCAGCAACAAGCAAGACACTGCTCAGTGACAACCAGCAATAGCGTGCTTGTAGTACATCTATATGTTTCAGTACGTTTTGGTATGTATATTATATCTATGAATCGATGTATTTATGCACATGTACCGTATTTATCTATGTATTTCATAATATAACATGGTGCACATGATTTGTAAACTAAATTTCGCCACTGAGACCAATGGTTAAATTTAATCCTATTTTATTTATTTTACACAACATAACATGGTAAACGGAACAATAATGTAAAAACGGCTTATGAAGTCCGACCCTAAAGCAAAGGTATAGCTTCTGTCTTCATTACTTACTTTACGTTTTGCTTCCCAACCTCTACATTTCAATACCCACCTGCATTAAAAAAATAAATAGCATTTGAAAAAACAATAATGATCAAACCGAAAGAAACAAAACCAGATACACAATGCAATGGATATTTTTATTTTCAACCTTAAAACAACAAGCAAACGCTATTATTATTATACGAAACAATAGTCAGAAACGAAAAAAAAAAAAAAAAAAGAAATCAGAAGCCCACTTTTCTTTACACAGGTTATGTACTGACCACTACAACACCTCTCTTGCTGATGCTGTTTATGACGTCAGCACACCGCCTGATTTGATGACGTCATTTTCCAATCTGGCTCTTGGCTCGCTTTTCCGCGCCAAGTTTAAAGGTGGAGATGGAAAGGATCAGTCTGTATTCAGGGTTCGTAATTTACATTTTTTCCCCCTTGTTTGTGACAAGTGGGCGGTTGGACGGCGCCACTGGTAGGTCCTACTTCTTTTCTCTCTCTCTGTTTTTTCCTGCCTGTGTCTGTCATACTTTCTCTTGCACTGAATGGCCGTTATGGTGTCAATGTTCTCCTCTCTACTCAACAACAACAACAACAACAACAACAACAGCAACAACAACAACAACAACAACAACAGCAACAACAACAACAACAACAACAACAATAACAACAACAATAACAACAACAACAGCACCATTGCTTGAGCTTCATAGTAGGTTTTTTTTTCCTTTGTCTGTTTTTGTTACAAGTACAGTGATATTGATATTAGCTTAAACTGAAATCTGTAAGGACCGCTAGATTTCCATCCGTTTAACCGTGTTTTCGGTTTAGAGAATTCGCCCAAACACAAGGGGGGAAATTAATCG